AGGTGAGTGCCACGGGATGGTCGGGTCGGACACGACTTGCAAGAGCGGGCAGTATCCGCGTGCGCTCGAGGACACCCGCACGGGGTGTAAGATGAAGACGGTCAGTAGGTGAGCGTGGAGTGAGAGCGGTGGTGTGCACGTACCGGTATGTAGTGAAGGCCGATGAGGCGTGATGGGCGGGATGACGTGCCGGTCCTGAAATCGAGTCGCCGGGACAACGTGTGGACCGTGCAACTGCGAGGGCGGGAAGGCGGCGGACTGTGCACGGCGATTTCAGACGGTCAGTTTTGGTGTGGAGCTCGGCGCAGTGGGCATGCATACCGTGTCGGAGTCCAGCGTTTGACCGGGCTTTGGAGAGTGGGAGGGGGTGAACAAGGGAGTTGGTTAGAGAAGCGAGAAGGTGGAGGAGAGGAGGTGGGGGAGAGAGACGGTGGGAACGAGTGATGCTCGCTCTGACCGGCCTATATATCTCACAGCTTCGGACGTCCATGCCTAGACCTGTGACTCATCAGACACCCGAGCATCTGAAGGGAAATGAAGAACCGACGGCGTGCAGGTCAGCGGGCTCTGTCATCAAATTTCAGTTCGGAAGCACGGAGCATGCGTTGTGCCCCAGAATGCCTGTACGTAAATGTATATCGGACACGGTGATAGCATTGATGAACTTTGCTTTTGTGCGCATTTACAATCAGTATGGGGACCTGAACGTGACTGACCCCATGTTCGTCGGCCATATCTGTACCTGCTCATCATATCCAATGGCGAGGACGTCCCTCTCCCATGATGCAGAATGTGGGCGATGTCCGCGCGTCAAGAACGGCAACATGCACGCATCTCGAACCCACTCAAAGCCCGTCGATTTTGCTGCGAAATGAGCTGATGGAACATTCGATGTCTCGTTCTGACACCGCCACCTTCCCGAAGCTCAACCACATGCACACTGCACCCGAGACCACGCTTATCGCTATTCGCCGTGTTCAACAGATCGCGTAGTCTTCAAGACGGTCCATCATCTGAAGGCCCTAGACGCCACGGGCATATGGTGCTCTCGGAGGCTGCGAGCAAGCCTACGAGATTGGAAACATCTGTACTCACCAGAAATACCAGAACGGGCACAGTTCGTGTAAGGAAGACTTCCGCGTGGTCTCAGGTACAGCCATGAGGACGGAGATGTTCAGGTGACGGCACTTCGGGTGACTCGACGTGAGATGCTCATAACATGACTCTGAAAGCAACGCTTTGTTCGGATGATGGAGTGAAGCGTGATGGGAAGGTTTGTTCGTTGACTCGGGATGTGAACCGCCCCCTCTCTGACCGTCGGCACGATGGGCCTATCAAACACTATCAGACGCCGCGCAAAGAAAGCTACAGCGTACCGAGCGGCTTGCTCTCAACTTCAGTGGGTTCTGGTGAGCACGCTATTGCTTGAAGATTATCATTCCCTCGCAGAATCAGCGGGCGGCTCCGAATTTGTAGAGGAGAACAATGGGCGGACAAAGTTTGAGAAGGCCAT